GCATGGGTAGCCTCAGCCCGCATATTTGGATGAGAAGCTTCCGATTGTGCTGACCTGACTGCCCTTTCGGCTTCACCCACAACACCAGTTACAACCTGTTGAGCTTCATTCCTCAAATCCGAAACCCTAGCTTGAACAGCCATCTGTGCCATTTGTTCATAGGCAGCTGGTTCAACAGAATGTAGATGCACTGATCGATGATCCTGATACACCCTTTCATCATGATAGCTTTGGTTAAGAACCGAGGTACTTCCATCCATGATCACATCGCCAAGATCCCTTGCATCCTCCAAAGGCGGCATCGAAGAGGCACTCTCCGATGAAGGAACTCTGACATCCAGAGTTCCTCCTTTTCCTGCCTACTTTGGGACCTAGATGAAGCTCCTGATGATGAAACCTCATGAGCTTCTCCTGTCATTCCTGCGACACGACCACTGCTGGACGACAGTTGCAACGCACTTGACGACTCCCCTGATTCCTGCATCCAAGATTCTGTGCGGCGAAGCAGCCACACCGGTGACCAGCTCGAAAGCTTGGCTCACCGCCCGTCCTAGGAGCCAGTTGTGAAGATACCCGGCCAAGCTGGGTAGACACTCGGAACCAACCTGCGCCTCCTAAGTGCCTCCAATGCCCGGGGTAAAGATTCAACTACCTCAATGTCAGTAGGGGGCCTAGCTGAATTGTACAACCTGGGATTGACACAAATCACAACCACTCCACGGGCAACCAATGACCTACACAATGGTAGCTTATCGTCAATGTGCGCAGTCACCGAACTGGCGTTCAAAGCCCTTTTGTCAGAATCAGAAGTAAGGAGAGCCCTGAGATCGGTGTGGAAATTCTCGTTGAACCTACGACGTTCAGAAGCTGCGTCTCGTCTTCGTTTCAATGATTTATCACCAAAATTCCCAATGTGATACGGGGATTCCTTAATCCAATTTGCAAGTGAGTTGGTCGCCTGCGTTTCCCACCTTCCCTCAATCCTTGACCCAAGGTCCAAGACACCGTGCAAGTCCACGCTCAACCTGATGGTCGGGTTTCCTGAACCACACACAGCTCCTGAAGTAGGATTGGGAAAAGAACCACCTGTTGGTCTCAATGGTGCACTAAAAGAAGATAGCTTAGGACCAACAGCCTTGATGATTCCAGCTTTGGGAATGATTGGATCCTTCACAACCGGATTAGACTTCACCTCAACCACCGGATTACCAAACACCTTGGGTTCCTCAGCTTTCGAAACAACAGCCGAACTCCCAACCTTAGACCCACTCGGCCCACCCGTAGCCACGAAAGGTGCAACAACAGGGAAATCCTCAAATTTATCCCTTGGCAAACTCAACTTAGGCTTCACCGGAGGACTCTTTGGGGGTGTTTTAGGTGAACCACTTGCAGGTGGCGGCCAAACCAAAGGCACAGCCGACAAAGGCGGCGGAACCGCCAAAGGTACCTTAGCCGAAGGTCCAACCTTAGCAACAGCCTGAGTCACCAAATTCGATGGCCTGTCAACAGGATTGGCCAATGGAACCGCTTTTGGTGGCGTTTTCGGGGCAACAACACCCGGTGCAGACGAAGGTCTCTTTGGAACACTCCGAACTGATGATGAAACAACAGTGCCCTCCAACAAACCACCTTCCGGGGAACCAACAACCTCGTTGTAGGGAAATCCAAACGATGCTTTGACTGCAGGATATGATCCGCTACTGGTTGCTGATGGCTCCCTAACACCAGGAATTTCAAACGGAGAATTCTTGCTTTTGGTTTTGGGCGAATGTTTCCCCTGTTCGGTCAATTCCCACAACTCTTTCTTCCTTTTAACCTTTTGGCCTCCACGCTTATTGGGCTTCTTTGGAGGCTCGTCACTCATAGAGTCAAAAGGAAAACCACTCCACTCAACCCCAATCTCACTCCCGCTCGGAAGCAGGCAATGAGCAGCCAAGATGCAAACCTTGGAACATAAAGAAGGGTAAAGACCAGATGCAGAAGCAGCAAACGCAAAAGCGGCAAAGGCAGCAGCACGCAGCGGTCACGGGCGAGTAGTTATGGCGGGTAGCCGAACTCTGGTTACGGCTGATAACCACACGAAACAAGCGGAGCACCAGTTTTGTGATCCACTTGAGCCAAATTGGTTTAAGGTTCAGTTAACCTTATTATCATTAGCTAACTGGATTACAAGGTTAATACATTTTAGTATAACCAGCGAAACCATGCAAATCAGCCTATGTGCAACACGCTACTGAGAGATAATAAAGGATACTAAAGATACTAAGAGATACTAAGAGATACTAAGAGGTACTAAGAGATACTAAGAGATACTAAGAGATACTAAGAGATAGTAAGAGACACCCAGACATTCCATTAGATACTGAGAGATACTCAGAGATACTAAGAGACACCCAGACACTCCATGATAGATGAAAATAGATACTACGAGATACTAAGATATACTAAGCGATACTAAGATACACTGAGAGATACTAAAACATACTAAGAGATACTAAAACATACTAAGAGATACCCAAACATACTAAGAGATACCCAGACCTTCCATTAGATACCAAGAGATGCTCCGCCGACCCCGGCTTTGGCATTAGCCGGGGTGGCGCCCAGGTCACAAAGCTGTACTTGCTCTATTGCTTTGTGCGCCATGCCTGGGCTTTCCTGGCCGGTGCAGCTGGGGCAAAGCTGTCGCTGCGCCCTTCCTGCGGCCTCCCCGGGCCGGTTTGGCAAAAATGTGCCGGCACGGCTGCTGCGGACGATGGTCTCTTTCTTTTTCTTGCTGTTCAGCTGTCACGCCGCGGCTGTGGCGAAGTGTGGCGGCCTTTCTTCCTGCGGCCTGTCTTTTCTTTCTCTTCAGCTGTCACACCGCGGTTGTCGCGAAGCGTGGTAGCTTTCCCTCCTGCAGCTGTCACGCCCGGCTTTGGCTGCTGCTACTGCAGCTGCCTTCCTCAGCTGTTGCGCTCTCTCACCTGCTCCTCTTTGTCGCCTTTTCAAGCGGTTTGATCCACCACGCTGTGTGTGGGCATGGACCCCCTGCTGGAGTTGCATGGGCAATCTGTATGCCCCGCTTTCCGCCGTCGACACCACTTTCGCACCGCGTGTTGGGCATGTGTGTTCCACCGTGCGGCAAATGATCGCCCCGTGGCGTGCTCTGAAGAACTTGCCGCAAACGTTTCTGTGGTTGACCTGCCCATCAGCAAAACGGGCACGCATACATGATACGTGGCGCATCGCTGCTGCTCGCGGTGATCTGTCCATTGCAGACCTCAAATCAGTGGCCGCAAACGCTCCGGTGATTGACAAGACCATCCGTGACGGTGCTCCTAATTTTTCCTTGGCAGAATTGGCTGGTATAGACCTTGTAACTCGGTTTGGCATTTCCGGTTTGAACACCGTTGCTTCCTGGAAGTGCTTGACTGCCAGCCAGCAGCTTCCCTGGAAGTGGCTTTTGTTTCTGTGCGTACCGCGTCCGCTCTTGGCTCTCGCGCAGTTGCCGCATCATGTCCCGTTCTGTCCGCCCATGCGTGCGTGGCACGGGCTGCTTCGCTGGGTATATCATGTCTTTGCCATTGCTGCTCTCGCCCGTGCCGGTCTGTGGCGCCGTCTCCCTGGCCTTTTTTGGCTGTGCCAATCGGGAGGCAATGAGCCGATCAACTTCTTCCAATGCATTTGTTTTCCCATAGCCATTCAAAAGTTCATGAAAATAATTCAACCGACTGCCCCCACCTTCTCCGACTTTACGGGTACAGCACGCAGCGGGCACACAGTCCATCATGCCGACGACGACAGCTCGGTACACTCAGATGCATTGCAATTGTCTAACTTAATTTTGATTGAAGGCTTTAAAAACGAGTCAGATTTGCTGTAGTATGCTGTAGTATAAAATGTTGCAACATCTTTATTTATGTCAGCCAGACCATGGGTTATTCTAACTTTTTAAAACTTGAAAAAAAAGCGCCAAAAAAACACAAAAGCAAAGGAAAAACCAAAAAGCAAATCAGCAAAATCCAAAAAACACAAAAGCAAAATAAAAGGAAAAAAAGGAACAAAAGGAAAGACAAAAAGCAAAAAAAAACAAAAAAAGAAAGGAAAGACAAAAAGCCAAGAAAAAAAAAAGTACAAAAAAGGAAGGAAAAACAAAAAGCACAGAAAAAAAAAAAAAACGAAACAAAACAAATACAATCAATTCTCAAAAATCATGAATTGCTTATTCGAATGAATTTTGAATTTGAAAAACTCATAGAGAGATTGTGTTTCTAGTGTTTTTACATTGTTGCCCCTTTTGTTTTCCTTTTTTCCCTTTTTTGTTGCTTTTGTTTTTTTCCACCCATTTTTCCTTTTCTCCTTTTTGACTTTCCATTTTTACCCCATTTAGTTTGCTTCCTGTTTTTTCAGTTTTGAAGTTTTGCTTTTTGATTTTCCATGTGTTTTCCTTTTTCTTTGTTTTTTTTCAAGTTTATAAATCATTAGAATAAGCTATAGAGGTGAACAAAATCTTTATACATCTCCCACTGCTCCTTCTCCTCCCGTCTTTGTGCGTATAAGGCCACATTCAGACCCCTTTCAGAGCCATAGATTTGTTTGCATACAAAAAGTAACTATATGTTTTGAAATCATGATGGATCATAACCCGGAATCCACCGATTTAAAAAGCAACAATGGAAAATTAACAGTAAATGCTTGTTTGTTTGGCGGCTTCATATAGTCAGACTGAAAAGTCATAGCAAGCCACAAATGTCACAACGAACTGCAATGCCCCGTATACAGGGGGTCGGCGGCACCCGGGCGTCAGCCCATTCTATAAGAGATACTAAGAAATACTAAGAGAGACTGAGAGATACTAAAACATACTAAGTATAAGAGATACTAAGAGATACTAAGACATACTAAGACCTACCAAGAGACTAAGAGTCTAAGAGCTGATCTTCTCTTGGCTTTTCAGTTGAGATTTGATGAGTTTTCCCGACTCCTAAACGACATCCGACATCCAGCCTCAAGCTCAGTCAACAGAGCGGCCAAGTCTCGTCATGGTTGTTTTTGAAAGTTGCCCATGTAGCCCCAATGCGGTTCCACTGACCAAGCAAGTCCTTCAGAATCTTCGGAATGTTCAGACCCAGAATGACAGGGGGACCCAGATGTGTCCCTTGCTTCACACTTCACAGATCTTCACAGATGTTCACAGTCTTGACCTTTGGCAAACTACGACCCATGATTCTTGATATTCTTTGGTGCTACTTGGCACCCCTGCCAGTTGTGTCATCAACTCTCGGGCCATGTGTCCCATGCATCGTGTGACAAGGAGGGAGGGAGGGAGGGAGGGAGGGAGAGAGAGAGAGAGAGAGAGCGAGCGAGCGAGCGAGCGAGAGCAGCGAGAGCAGCGAGAGGAGCGAGAGGAGCGAGAGGAGCGAGAGCAGCGAGAGCAGCGAGAGGAGCGAGAGGAGCGAGAGGAGCGAGAGGAGCGAGAGGAGCGAGAGGAGCGAGAGGAGCGAGAGGAGCGAGAGGAGCGAGAGGAGCGAGAGCGAGAGGGAGAGCGAGAGGGAGAGGGAGAGGGAGAGGGAGAGCGAGAGGGAGAGGGAGAGCGAGAGGGAGAGCGAGAGGGAGAGGGAGAGGGAGAGGGAGAGCGAGAGGGAGAGAGAGAGGGAGAGGGAGAGGGAGAGCGAGAGAGAGAGAGAGGGCTTGCACACTACCATCTTTGATATGTCAAGGTCAAGACTGAGTGCGCTGTCTGTAAAACTCATATTGCAAAAGTGTAGGAAGATTAGGAAGTATATGAGAAGCCTCAGCTTCGCTTCTTGGGATTTGGCGTACACACAAACACGCAGCTTCGTACCAGAGGCCAAAACATAAGTATCATCATGTATCAACTATCCATCCTCTGATGAATGGGCTGTCTATATCTATCTATCTATATATATATATAATATATATATATACATACATACATAGAATCTCATAGAATCTCATAGAATCTCATAGAATCTCATAGAATCTCATAGAATCTCATAGAATCTCATAGAATCTCATAGAATCTCATAGAATCTCATAGAATCCCATAGAATCTCATAGAATCCCATAGAATCCCATAGAATCTCATAGAATCTCATAGAATCTCTCAATCTCGTTTCCATTCGTTTCTGCATCTCTGAACAAACTTTGGATGTGGCCAAACTCCTCTCGCTCATCGATGATAGCTGCAAAACCACTACCACCATCCTGGGCAAAAATCAATGTCTCAAAAACAGTTGACCGAATTCTTGGGGCATCTTGGGACTGTCCAGAACTGATCCCTTGATTCGGATCAACAGGACCTTACCTTGCCTCATGTTAAGCCCTCCAAAACTTCAGTCCAAATTTATCCAAATTTCACACATATCGACCGCAGGATGCCAAAGGGAAAAGGCTAACGCTCAGGGCTTAACAATTGCAGAAAGAGTCTTTCAGTTGCTGGTGCGCCGTCTCGAATTCCTGTTCAGCCGATGAGAGCTGTCTTCCAACATCCTTAGACCAGGACGGTGAGCAAAGGATTTCCACAAGACAAGCTACTCAGCATGAGCGGCAGAAACTTGATGAAAATGCTAGAATCATAGAATCATAGATACTCAATGATGTCCAAAAATACTCATCACAGGTCATGTCATGACAGCATGACATGTAAGGACAAACCAAATGCCAAAGCTGAGAAGCTTTGAATTTGGTGTCTAGAAATGTCTAGAAACGCACGAAAATCAGAAGGGAGTTCTTTTGGCAACGACTGCTATCTTGAAATTCAAGATAAAATGCACGAAGTGACATCAACAGCTGGGATCCAAGTCTCAAAGCGTTCTGCCATAGCCTCCTTGTAGACTTTTTTGGCCAGAACCACTTGCCACATCGCAACTCGAACTCTTTGGCCAGGCCATTCTGGTTCAAGCTCAAGTGCCTCCGCAGACGCAAAATATGCAAACGCTGTGCCAAAAAAACATCGCCGCTCAAATGTTGGGAGGCTCGCGCCTTTGAATTTCAACATAGTTTAGACCAACCAAAACGCCCAAAGGGGTAGAGTGGGCCATGCTTGTACGATCGAAATGCATCGTTGGCTTTCAGTCTCAAGGGTTGATGTAGTGGTAACAATAGATCAAGAACAGTTCCATTTTTTCCGGCATTTTACTTTAGTTTCCAGATGTTTCCAGTTTGCGCATGTGGAAGTTTTCTTGTGTATCATGTGTTCTGCAAGAGTCCAAGGGCCTTGTCCGAGTACGAGCGCAAGAGACCTTTGGCCTGAGCTATGATCGAAGTCTCCTGGGGCTCCACCTCATGGTGAGACGAGTCAAAATCTGGAAAGTTGAAGCAGGACGCTTTAGAATACTTCAAACATCTTCAAACTTTCTCATGAGAGATATAAGAATTGGATAAACATGAATTAAACATCATGAAACTACCATAAGTTCAAGTGATTTCAAATGCACATATGTCACATCTGTGCATCTTCACCCCTCTCCACCTATCTCCATCCCTCCGTCAAGGAACCATTTGATAAGTCGCGTCCGCTTCCAGGAAGGTTTCCACCAGGGGTTGCAACTGGTTGATGATTCGGTTGAAGAGTGCCTGACCACTTGAGCGGCAAATGTAACGAATAGGAAGCTGTTCGAATAGAATCAAGATGAATCAAGATGAATCAAGATGAATCAAGATGAATCAAGATGAATCAAGATGAATCAAGATGAATCAAGATGAATCAAGATGAATCAAGAGAACAAATTCGAAGAGTGCCCCCTTTGACATCATTCAAATGCCAGTTGAAAACAAAACAGTAGGACGTAGGTGGACATAGTATGACCAGTTGGAGTTCAATCTGGCCCCTAGGGCCCATGATCTGTGACCTGCGTAGGCTGGACTGGCACAAAAGGATGTGGTGAACCCATGATGAGGCGGTCCATGGAATCTCTCAAGGCAGTCATTTCACCAGTGACGGTCTGCGAGATCAAGGCGGTCATGGCATCCTCAGCCAGACCTGCGACAGTAGCCTTTCTTCGGCGCATAAAACACCTTCCGCACAACTGTATAGTATGGTGTCTTTTAAGCAAAACAAACGTATACAAACAGTAAAACCTCATGGGCCCAAACATGTCCAATTATGGATGAGAGTAGCATTACAGTGATGAGTGGGACTAGCTTGCAGCCATTCGCTTTCGAATCATCGCTTGGAGTCCAGACATATGTGAATTTTAATTTAACATATAATTTCATAACATTTCATATAATCTCCGTGATTCACTCCTGGTCCATCCTGGTCCATCCTGGTCCATCCTAGCAACCTTGGCCGCTCTCATGTTCGCATGACCTTCGCATGACCTTCGCATGTCGTTCACATGTCGTTCGCATGTTGCGATCGCCTGCCAGCACGGTGACCTCCGACATCAGCAGCTCCCAATCGCCTTTGGCCAAGCTGATGTTCCCGCAACTGGCTGGCTGTCCTGGCAACATCTAACATCCAGGAACCAAGGCTACCAAGGCTACCAAGGCTACCAAGGCTACCAAGGCTACCAAGGCCATGGGGAAGTATGGCCAACTGGAAGCTGAATCTTCATTTCGATACTTAATTTTTCCCGAGAGCGCCTGAGCGCAGGGTTCTTCCAATAGTGGGGGTCTGTCTCTCATCTTCTCATCTTCACATCTTCTCATCTTCACATCCTCACATCTTCACATCTTCTCATCTTCACATCTTCTCATCTTCACATTTTCTCATCATCTTCACACATTCACATCCTCACATCTTCACATCTTCTCATCTTCACATCTTCTCATCTTCACATCTTCTCATCATCTTCACATCTGCTCATCTTCACATCTGCTCATCTTCACATCTTCTCATCCTCACATCTTCACATCTTCTCATCTTCACATCTTCACAGGTCTTCACATCTGCTCATCTTCACATCTTCTCATCCTCACATCTTCACATCTTCTCATCTTCACATCTGCTCATCTTCACATCTTCACATCTTCACATCTGCTCATCTTCACATCTTCTCATCCTCACATCTTCACATCTTCACATCCTCACATCTTCACATCTTCTCCTCTTGCCTTCTTGCCCTCTTGCCCTCTTGCCCTCACATCTTCACATCTTCTCCTCTTGCCCTCTTGCCCTCTTGCCCTCTTGCCCTCTCCTTCTTTTCTATTTCTCTTCTGAAGGCGGGGGCAGGGGCAGTGCCAACGAGACGGCACGAAACGCAACCTTTTCGCACGAAATGAGGTTCGATCGCCAAAAACTGAGGTAAAATTGCGATTTCAAGGTGTCCCGCGCAACCCTTTCGCACGAAATGAGGTTCGATCGCCAAAAACTGAAGAAAAATTGCGATTTCAACTTGTCCCGCACAACCCTTTCACACGAAATGAGGTTCGATTGCCAAAAAACTGAGGTAAATTTGCGATTTCAAGGTGTCCCGCGCAACCTTTTCGCACGAAATGAGGTTCGATCGCCAAAAACTGAGGAAAAATTGCGATTTCAACTTGTCCCGCACAACCCTTTCACACGAAATGAGGTTCGATCGCCAAAAACTGAGGTAAAATTAGGATTTCAACTTGTCCCGCGCAACCTTTTCGCACGAAATGAGGTTCGATCGCCAAAAACTGAAGTAAAATTGCGATTCCAAGTTCCTCCGCGTAACGTGTTCGCACGAAACGAGGTTCGATCGCCAAAACTGAAGTGAAATTGTAATTTCTCTTGTCTAATCGCGACCCTTTCGCATGAGATGAGGTTCAATCGCCCAAAACTATAGCAAATTGCGATTTCCTGTGCGTAAAAGCGTCTCTATGTAAACGTGTCTGTGTGTAAAAGCGTCTGTGTGTAAAAGCGTCTGTGTGTAAAAGTGTTAGTTTGTAAAAGCGTCTGTGTGTAAAAGCTTTTGTGTGCAAAAGCGTCTGTGTATAAAAGCGTCTGTGTGTAAAAGCGTCTGTGTGTAAACGCGTCTGTGTGTAAAAGCGTCTGTGTGTAAAAGGGTCTGTGTGCAAAAGTGTTAGTGTGTAAAAGCGTCTGTGTGTAAAAGCTTTTGTGTGCAAAAGTGTCTGTGTGTAAAAGTGTTTGTGTGTAAAGGCGTTTGTGTGTGAAAGCGTCTGTGTGTGTGCAAGCGTCTGTGTGTAAAAGCTTTTGTGTGCAAAAGTGTCTGTGTGTGTGTGTCAAAGTGTTTGTGTGTAAAAGCGTCTGTGTGTAAACGCGTCTGTGTGTAAAAGCGTCTGTGTGTAAAAGCGTCTGTGTGTAAAGTATTAGTGTGTAAAAGCGTCTGTGTGTGTAAAAGCGTCTGTGTGTGTAAAAGCGTCTGTGTGCAAAAGTGTCTGTGTGTCAAAGTGTTTGTGTGTAAAAGCGTCTGTGTGTAAAAGCGTCTGTGTGTAAAAGGGTCTGTGTGTAAATGTGTCTGTGTGTAAAGTATTAGTGTGTAAAAGCGTTTGTGTGTAAAAGTGTTAGTGTGTAAAAGCGTCTGTGTGTAAAAGTGTCTGTGTGTAAAAGCGTCTGTGTAAAAGCGTCTGTGTGTAAAAGCTTCTGTCTGTAAAAGCTTCTGTGGGTAAAAGCTTTGTGCGTAAAAGAGTCTGTGTAAAAGCAACAGTGTAAAAGCGTCTGTGTGTAAAACTGTCTGTATGTAAAAGCGCCTGTGTGTAAAAGTGTCTGTGTGTAAAAGTGCCTTGTGTGTAAAAGCGTCTGTGTAAAAGTGTCTGTGTGTAAAAGCTTCTGTGTGTAAAAGCTTCTCTGTATAAGGGGTTCTCTGTGTAAAAGCTTGCTCTGTGTAAAAGCTTCTGTGTGTAAAAGTGTTTGAAATGCAAACTATTGTCTTGTACTTGTGCTATATTGTCTTGATACTCCTCTTCTCGACTGCCTATAACACATCTTTTATATATTGTTTTGTAACATGGTGTCTCCATACTAACAAGAGAAGACCCTGCTCCTCTACGCTCTCGGGCCATCTGTCGTCTAGTTCATTTGGGGATTTAATATGATTTAATATGATTTAATATGATTTAATATGATTTAATATGATTTAATATGATTTAATATGATTTAATCATTGAATCGTATTCAATCATATCCAATCTTTCTCTTGAATTTAGGACCTTGCAGGCTTTGCACTCCCGGTGTCCTTGATAGAAATGGTAAATGTCACTAGAAGATGATGCCATTGCAGCAACGCCTGCAGGACTGACTTGATTCACGATGCTCACGGCATCTGATTGGTTGCTCACGATCTGGAAACACGCTCGCTCCAACTGGTAGTAGTTGTTCATCACTTCTGCCAAACCACCTCAAACCGAAGCAGCGTCTCCAACAGAAGGATTTCATCAGACTTCTGACTTCAAGGGTGGATTCACACTCTGCTACATGACTACACCTAAAAGCCGATAAGCATATGACACCAAAACACACTAAAAATAAATTAAACAACACCTCAATAATCCAAAGCTTCCTGCTGCGTTTCCAGCCACGGACGATGCACAAATCTGTGATTTTCTGCAAGGCCATTCGTTCATCTGTCGCTGGAGCTCCCATAATCAGCTCCCGGCGAAGTGAACGGAAGGCCTGCGCCGTGGTATTCAACTCCTGCGTTGAACAGAAACACGGACAGGGTTTCATCAAATGACTGGCAGGGGCCGTAATGTTCAGGTCTGACTCACGCTCCGACTAAGTAGTGACTAACGGGACTAACGCTTAACTGCATCGACTGCATCTGAGCTCAACCAATCGATGCAGTATGATGCAGTATTGCTAAGTCCAATCTCCTCGGCTGGTATTGCTCCAAACAGGACCTTGTACACCTGGATGGGCAAGTTGTGAAACTGAAATTGTTGCCTCGTCGAGCCGGAGATTTCCACAGGCTCCGTGCGTCCCACAGTAAGACTGGAAGTTACAAGATCTTTCAAGTGCCCATAAGTGCCTGGAAAGGGGGGAAAGAGCAGTGGGCTACTTTGAAATATTGCTCAGAGCCACAGCTGCAACATATTAGAAAATTTATTGACAGGAAACTCTGCTTGCACATACCCGCACCCTTCTCCAAGCAGCGCCTGTGGGTAAGATCCAGGAGTCTTATCTGTACAGTGCTGCCTGCTGCAGCCCCAGCTTGCACTTGTAAATCCTGAGGGGCGACAGAAATCGCAGCAAAAACCCCGAGAAGTTTTTTCTGAATTGTCCATCTCGATCCAAATATCTTTCACTTGACGGGAATCTCACGGGAACTGGGAGACTTTCAGTCGAGCGTCCATGACGTCGTTCAAATCCTGTAGCAAAGAACTTTGCAAACGGATCTGCAGCGCCACATCCACCTCGCCAAGGGGGAACCCACGGTTAAACAATTTTGAAGCAACCGGGATTTTTGATTCCTGGATACATGTGTAAACAAGTCAAACAGCTTCGATTATCTGCTGTTCTAACAAGTCTTCTTTTTTTGCAAATCTTCGACTTGTTAGACTCGTGTTAGACTCGTGTTAGACTCGTGGACTCCTTAGACTCAGGTCTCGCCTCTGGGATGGTTGTTTGCCGCACAGCTTCTTCTAAACCCACCGAGAAGGTGTTCCACATGTTGGTCACCGAAATGAATTTGTCAAGCATCTGCTGGGTTGGAGGTGCCGGCCTCGAATTCAAGGAAAATCCACCGGAAAGATAGAGGAAAGATGAGCAAAGTGCTTTGGTTATCTTTAGTTGATGTATTTGCATCGATGTGCATAGCATGTCCTTTAGAATCAACGAAACGATACAAAGAGATACAAAAAGCAAGTACAGTTGGCTGTTCGTAGTGCAGTTGCGCGGCTTGTTCTCCAACTTCCGGCCCTGCACCAAGTCTTGAAGCAGCTGTGATTGCTCGGCCACAAGGACCGACAGCTCGACTTTGCCTCGTCCCAGAATGTCTCAGAGATATCAGACACTATACGTAAATTATAAGACTCTCCCAGACTTTCACAGCCTTTCACGGTGTTTCCACGTTCACAAACAAGTTTGACTTTCAAGGCTCCAACAGGGAGCGCTTTCTTCTTGTTCTGGTACCTGTCATATCGTAAGCCATACCTGTATGGCCCTGTCATGGCTACCCCGTACCCTTCATCGCTTTGATGATGGGATGCAGCATCTTCAAGCCACCTGCACCAAGGCACTTGCTTGGGCGGCCAAGCCATTCGCAATCTGCCTGGGCGCAGTCGAGGACCAAATGCAAAATTGATAAGGCTTTGCTATGAGGAAGCTCAAATGAGTCAAGCAGTTTTCTCCTTGCACCTTTGCCTTGATATTCCTTGTATTTGTTCTACGAGTCGATCAGGAATTGAAATAGAGCCCACTGACACTCACTCGATTGGATGTGCACCCCGTCAAGTTGCATATAGTGCCGCATAGCTTCAGTGACACCAATTCGAGAATTCGCAATGCCTCGGTTGCCAGGTGGAAACTCCAATTTCGCCACGAAACTCCTGGAGACTTCTTCAGATTGGAATAGTTAAGAATGAGGTAGTAGTACCTCCAAATAGGTAGTTAAGAAATGTTAAGAATATGAAGTGCCTTCCTGTGTGGCAGTTTGCTTCCAAATACAGCTTACGCAACACTTCTGCACCTGGGTTTTTGACTTGCATGGAATGAATACCCCAGGTCTTACTCACATCTCAGGTACATGTTCTGAATTTGGCGTCTTGGTCTCCGAATCTCCTTGGCATTGCTTGCTTTCGCTACTTCTTTGTGCCTAGAAAATTCGTTGTGGCATGTCAATCTTGGTGCCTTGGCTATCCAAACCAAATGGTAGCTATACACTGTTCCTTATCTGCTGCGCATATATCCTTCAGTAATATGTGTCACGAAAAGTGCTTACACGCTTACACGACCTTGCCAAACTCAGGTTTTAGTTTTTACTAAAAAACAGCTCAAGATGCCAACATCCTGAATAAACATGTAAGGGAGGGATCTTCAGGCGCAATTGTCCAAAGCCCTCGAGCTGCAATATCTAAGTATGCTGCGATCTCAAGATGATAGAAAATTGAGCATCAAAATACTAGGCACGTGCTTTAGTTGCAGCTGTATTCACTATCTACTAGCTTAGACATCCTCAAGCCACCTGGTCACTTGGGAACAATATAGCAACACATGAGCACAATATGAGCCGCATGGTCAGTTGGCATTCGTCTTGCAAGACTTTCTGGTCAAAACTAGCGTGAGTGAGTCCTGTAAGTCCTGTGGCCTCTGCTTGCAACTCCTACTTGCGACCCAGTCGTGAGCCAGAGAGACTTACGAAAGGGGAGTTTTGAGCTTGCCGCCAGTGGACAGTTTTGCAAGGCATGGTGCCACTAGTAAGAACATTGGCACTGCTGCGCCTATTTGTTCGCTTGTGCATTTGCTTTTGGAGAGAAATTGTCTGAACTGCACCGAGACACATTCGGTCAGTGCCAGCCATTCACCTGACAAGCAGGCTTCTGATTGAAAGTACAAGAGGACAAAAATTGCTTAACATCCGATCATCCGCATTCGCTAGAAATCCTGGGTTGGGAAACGCTGAGTTTCTCCGCAAATCAGCATTTAGATCAAGACAAACGGCAACCGCAGTTACCTCTTTCTTAATCCACGTGACCAAATGAACAATTATCCCGGCAAGAGGCCCCAAACAGTGTGCAGTTAGGGTTCTAAAGAGCAAAGAGCAAGGTGGAAAGGACCTAAAATCATCAGTGGCTGCAAGCTAGCAGGACAAGAGCGACCCTAATAGTGAGAAGAAGAGATACCAGATCAGATTCTGCAAGTTCCCTGTGTGAAGATCTCAGTAGAAGATCGTGCGCAAGATCTCCTTGAGATGTTCTCTGTAGAAGCTGCTGTGCAAGATCCCTGTGTAAGGCTATGTGTACAAGGTGTCTATAGGAGATCTCCACAGAAGATCTTTTTGAGGGATCTCAAAGTAAGATCTCTGTTCAAACTATCAATAAATGATCTCCGAGCAAGACCTTTGCTCTCTTCAGCAGGTCTCTGCGCAAGATCTCCAAAAGAGGTCTCCTGGCAAGACCTTTGTACAAACTCTCTAAAAGAGCTCTTTCTGCACAGATCTCTTGAAGAGGTCTCTTGGCAAGACCACTGGCCAAGATATCTATACGAGATCTCTCAGCAAGATCTCTTTACGAGATCTCTGTACAAGCTCTCTATAACAGCCCTCTTGGCAAGTTGTATGTAAGAGACCTCTTGGCAAAATTTCTGCAACAGATCTCCACGCAATGTCTCTGTACAAGGTCTCCAGAACAGGTGTCCTGGCAAGATCCCTGTACAAGATCTCTATAAGAGGTCTCTTCGCAAGACTCTGAAAGAGATCTCTCTATAATTAATTTCACCAAACCACCGCTAATTCTTATTTTTTTTAAACTTGAAAAAAAGCACGAAAAATGAAAAAAAAAATGGAAAAACCAAAAAGCAAATCAGCAAAATCCAAAAAACACAAAAGCAAAATAGAAGGGAAAAACAAGGGGAAAAAAAGGAAAGACAAAAAGGGGAAAAAATGGGAAAAAAAATGGACTTGTCCATTTGCATTTTTTTTGCTTTTATTTGTTTTTTCGATTTGCTTTTTGTTTGCTTTTTTTTGTTTTTATTTTGTTTTTTCCAGGCAAAAAGCCCCCCCCAAAAAAAAGCAAATAAAAGCCAAAAAAAAGAAAAAAAAACAAATCGAAAAAGCAACAAAAATGCAAATGGACAAGTCCATTTTTTCCCATTTTTTCACCCTTTTTGACGTTCCTTTGTTTTCCCATTTATTTTGCTTCCTGTTTTTTTTTCGGTTTTGAAGTTTTGCTTTTTGATGTTCCATGTGTTGTCCTTTTTTTTTGCTTTTTTTCAAGTTTAAAAAACATTAGAACTAGCGGGAGAGGAGAACATAACTCTATAAGAGACTTTCACAGAAGATCTCTGTGAGGGACCTCAAAGCAAGATCTCTGTTCAAGCTCTTATAAAAGATCTCTGAGAAAGATCGCTGCTCTCTTCACCAGGTCTCTGTACAAGATCTCTATAAGAGGCACCTGGCAAGATCTCTGTGCAAGATCTATAAGGGCTCTGTTGGCAAGACCTCTGTAAGAGGTCTCTTGGTAAGATCTCGGAACAAGATCTCCATAAGAGGTCTCTCGGGCAAGATCTCTGCACGAGCTCCCCGTAAAAAGTCTCGTGGCAAGATTCCTGTATTAGATGTTTCGTTTTGTGCGAGCCTCCGCAATCGAAATGCAGATGGACATGTCACATGAGCCAGATTGTGTGAGATTTACAAGAAAAATGCCGGGCACTAATCCTGCGACACCCGTTGTGTGCGAGCCTGCGCAGTCGACATGCAAGTGGACATTTGACCAAAGCCATTTTGTGTGGACATTTACAGGAAAAGTGCCGGACGCTAATGCCGCGACACCCGTTTTGTGCGAGCCTGCGCAGTCGAAATGCACATGGACATTTCACAAGAGCCATTTAGTGCTGAAATTACAGGGAAATGGCCGGACACGCCGGATACCACCTCGACTGAACACCAAGCCTTAACACTTACCGTAAGAACCCCTCAGTGTGGCCACACTGTTTGGGGAGAAAATTCAAAAACCGCGACTTGTTGTTGCTTTATCAAGTTCAGTGCAGTACTGAGAATTGGAATGTGCAGAACCCACGAAGTAAAACACTCTGCAGGCACCAAAATGTTTTTCTGTTCTGTCCATTCCAAATCATTCCAATAAGAACGCTTTTCTAAACTACGAGCAGGAGGCCCCGTACGTCAACAGAGTCAGTGCAAAGAGGCTGGCGAAATCTGTCGACTCATGGCTAAAGAGTCTGCAACCTGAATTGAAATTCTCCGAGTTGCTCTCTGTGATGCTTTCCAGCGGATTGCATGATGCTGTATCCTGACGATAGAACACAGGAGCATCCCGCCCTTCTGAGCGATTTGGTATATGTCCACATCATTCCGTATCTACATATGTCTGACATAGCTTTCATGCAGAAAGGCCCGTACTATGATGAATGGAAAAATCCATCTGCTGCTGAGCTGCGTTGCTGAAGAGCGCCACAGCAGCGGCCATGCTTTGGAAAAACGGATCCGTCAAGCCTCAGCAATTTTTGGTGTTCAACCTGGCCTAGGAAATTGTCACAGCCATGACAAACCATCAAGGACAAGAGGATGACATAATGACAAAGAATTGAATATGGATGAATAAAGCCTATATATATATTGTTTTCTTATACGCCCGTATTTATATATATATATTTATATAATTATATATATAATTATACAAATATATATATATATACATAGAAATGGATAGAGTAGAAATCAGTAGACTATAGTAGAATAACTGTTTGGGAATCGACGTGACAAACTTCCAGACTTGATAACGGCTAACGTGCTCAAGTCATTGCAAGTCTTTAAGAAAAAATCCAAGCACCAAATGCCAAATGCACCAAAACGAAAAGATTGAAAGAGCGTGTAAGGCCAAGGCATGTGACAGATGTGACAGGTTGAACCTGGGAAACCAATGAAAACCATAAGTTTTCCATATGCCAACACCA